AGGAGTGCCCCAAGGCTCAATTTTTGGCCCACTACTTTTTACTATATTTCTTATCCAAGAGAAAGCCGCATCATTCAAAGACTGATTGAAAAGTAACGTGACATGAAATGTAAAAAGTAAAACATTGCTATTTATTACGTGGTCAAAAAGATTACAGGGATCAAAAGAGCACTGCCCGAGAAAAAACAAACACAGACATAAACACATCGGTAGTGTCCTTTCCCAGAGGTGTTGAGCTATAGGCTTCATGTGTGGGATGCGACACTCTTGTCTTTAAATGTTGTCTGCTGATTCACAGATATCGACACCATCCTCAGAACATTAAGTGAAGTAAAAATATCAACAGCCTGGTTCGGAATGTACTTTTCAACAGATCGCATTGATGGATGTGGGAGTTTGGAAGCTGACACATCCGACACCTGCCCACATGTTCAACTGGGCCAACTTCGGCAATATAGAGATTACAGGATTATACAGCCAACCACTGAAGCACTACAGAAATGTATGTAATTGCTGTTTTTTATGATTGGTGGGATAAGATATTCATTCAGCAATTTCGTTTAAATATGCACAAGAAAATTAACATGTGTCACAAGATTAACTGCTAAACTACTATGAAATTCTTAGGCAATTGCAGAACTGGTTCCTTACAGGTCTAAACTAGGGGTGAGCAATACTGATAAAAATATTATATAGATTTGTTTATTTTTATTTTAATGGCGAGTGACAATATTTTTGCTATTTATCAGAAATATCAGCAGCTGTCTTGGTTGATGTTCAAGTATTGTACAGTACAAAAGACTCAGATTAAGTTTTATTATATACAATAGAGGTCAATATTCTACTTTTACATATCTTCGGAACATCCAGTACATCTTCTGCCACTAGTATAAACTACAGGGTTATGAACGTTTATAAAAGGACAAGACCCTGCAGGTTCAATGAATCTTTACATCCCTTGCTGCCATCCTACATTCCCGCCCTTTTGATTTGACAGACGAATCGTCTGCAGTCAAGCTTTATATTAAGTGTGGCATTCTTAGCATGCTATAACTCCCGACGTGTTAGCAGAAGCTCATCTATCAAGGCTGTGCTTACATAGCTTTAGTGCATACTCTGATTTTACTAAGACGACGCATATGGAAACACAGCACCATGTGATAGACACATGTATTAATATTTACTGTACCGGTTGATTGACACTGGCAAAGTAAATAGTATAAGGAGGGCAAGAATGTTGACTGAATAGGAATGTGTTCTCCATTTTACAGACTGGATAGTGTCAAGGGGAATTATTTGTCTGAATATACTTTTAAGCAAGTGAAATAAAGGCATGAGTCTATTTGAATAATAATAAAATGCAAAGTTTAACTATGTCTTCAGGCCTTTGCCAAAGGCTTTTCTAACTTGCATCAGGAAAGACAAAGAAAACACATAAATATATAGCCATAATAACTATATCAGTGTATAGTTAATAAGTGACAGATGAAACAATAATTTGCTAAACAAATCAGTGTTTCCCAACCAGAGGCAGAGGGACCCATAAGGGTGCTCAAGCACTTACCAGCATGTACGATGAATGTTTTTTGATTTAAAAATAAAATTTAATGGTTCTTTAATCTTTTTTTTTTCTATTTGTATTTTTATGTTTAACTATTTTAAGTGACAATATTTTAATCTGGTAAACTGATTTATTTGCTCAGTATCTGAGGTAGGAGGTACTCAGAGTGTGAGACAGGCTTGGGGGCTACTCGAGACCAAAAAAGGAACAATAATTTTGTGGGGTCAGTTTTTATCATGGGCATGATTTCTTTCTATGAGTGGAGGACTTTTAGTTATTTTTCAGTACTGTGACAAGATGTGTATGTTGAATAATCCACAAATGTTGAAGATGATCAGTGACTGGACCACTGAACTTGGTCTATTACATAAAATATAATAATTTTCAGCCTATAGAATATTGTGGTGTCATCTGATCACCTTTTAAATAAATTTAACTCCTTTTAATGACTTGTGGCAGTTGTATGGAGTTGGTGTGAACATGCAATACCTTATACATGCCCACATACAGACTAACAGGATTATGTGTGAGGATGTAGTTTGAGAGCAGGTGATAATCCCAGAAGGGGCTGACAGCATTACATCACAGTTCTTTTCTTGAGCGCTCCTCATTACTGTGGGCTCCTTGAAGCTGTGAAAAACTCCCTACTTCCTTTACACAGCCTCTCGGTGTTATGTAAGAGTCATGGATCCATGCTCAGATAATCAAACAACACATACAGCGGGGTCTAGTAGTTTTTGTTTAGTTTTTTTTTTTTTTCTTCAGATAATACTGATATTTGTCTTGTTTTGTGCAAATCTTTAACACAGCACACAAATTGCAGTAATGTTATGCTTAGGTGATCAAATGAAAGGAACTGTATGTAGCCTGCACTTTTACCATTTAAAAAAAAGTATTACAATCACAACTGAACCTGGGTTGCCAGTGCCCAAGCTTGCATATACAGCAAACACACAGCTTTTTTTCATTGTCAGTATATGGACAAGCTATGCCTAATGTGAAAGATCAGAACATCCAAAATTCACTCAGAGAACTAGCAGTACTAGCACATGATAAGCTGCATGTGCTGGGGTTCAGGTAGTGGCCTTTCAGATAAGAGAGTCCTTTTAGATTTAAGCCAAGTGAATTTCAGCATTGAAAACGGTAACCCAAATAAGAGATTCATGACACTTATTCTGCTTTCTGTTAGGATAGCTGATCGTCTTAAGAAGCAAAGCATCAAATTATAACATAAACAACTTGGCCATCACATCCAATGTTTTTGTAATTAAGAATAAATCAGCATTACAATTGCTATCAGTAAAAGCGATCTTTGATTTGAGCATGTCTACTTCTTATCAAGGGACACAGACAGGTAAAATTTACGAAATTTTAAATAAAATCTTACGTACACTTCCTTTAACTTTTAACAAAACATAGCATATAAAATTCTTGCTATTTAGAACCAATATCAGACCAATACATACAAAAATCCCAGTATTACTGATGCCAATTATACTGGTACATATATTCTCCATCCCTATTGTATTGTATAAACTAGAATCTAATCTTGGCTAGTACTCCCATCTGAGAGAATGACATCACACTGTAGATAGGAAAACAACAATGCATTCTCCGGAGAGATGGCGCCCCACGTGCTGGCACACTCCAAATGCCACATTCTACAAGGCTTCCAAAATGACGCGCACTGTTGTGCATGAAAGGATTAAAAAAAGACTGCTGGAAGGACAGAGACTGAGTGGGAGAGTTTTGTCCTAGACTGTACCGTCTTCTCTGCTGTCATTTTGACGTCAGTATTTTGGATGAGTGGGCACACACACCAGTTAAACAAAAACAATCTCACAAGAGAGCTGATACAGCTGTGCTTTTGCTAGAAAAGTAGATGCAAACTGTGTGTTACATGGTAAACACTATATTTCAAAAGTGAAACACTAGAATTTAATTCATTTAATCTTCAAGAGCACAAATTTAAGATATTTATATTCACTACAATGTTTTATCATATTCTTTCCCATTCAAAATATATAATATTTGGTTTAATTGTTTATAGCTATGGCATAATTTAAGTCGTACTATTAATTAATTCTTTCATTCGATTGGAACAGTGCATGTTAACTCTTTCCCCCCTGGACGCCTACTAGGAACAACCCATACATATGTTACTAGGGCTACCCATAGAGCATAATTGCATAAAAGAAACAGACTTCCACGAGTGATTATAAATGATTTTTACACTCATGAACTTAATGGTAACACAGACATATTTGGTATCTCTGGAAACCTTAGACTCTGAACTATTCATTTATGGATGTTTAAATGTGATTCAACTCATTTATAGGTGCATAACAACTCACTGAAAATGAGAGTTTACCTGGTCAGGTGCAAGCTCGAAAACAAGAAACTACATTCAGCATCTGATATCTGCATGTTCTGAGTACTATATTCATAAAAAAATAAAAAATATACTTTGTCAAAGTATTTAAACAGATTTCATATCACCAGATACAGTATAGCCAAGTGTACACCTGTTTTTACCTGTTGTACACCTGTGTGCACCCAATTCATTTTTTTTTCATTTAATTTATTCAACTCATTTAGCTTATTCAACTTATTTTATTTATTCAACTCATTTAGCTTATTCAACTAATTTAGCTTATTATAATATAATAATATAATAATAAAACTCTTCCCCGTCAGTGTGTGTCCAGTATTTGTCATCTTGGCTATTTTCTCGTGCGCAGAGCTCTGCATAAGCGTTTTTTCTGTAGCGATTCTGTTATACATCGCATCTTGGAAAAAAAGACTGAAATATTTTAAAGGACTAGCCTGGGCAACATCCAGATTTCAGGGCAATTTTGGTTCATAATCGAGTATAAAGCTCAGATAGTTTGTTCGGATATCGCAGGACTCCACACAGACGCATCAGCGGCATTCTCACCTTCTCCCCGAAAGTCCGTCGCTATCGCTGTTTTCCACTTTCAACTTCAACATCATCACTTTGAAATCTATAAAAGTCACTTTCTCTAAACTTATCCATAAAATACGTCCGCTCCTCATTATTTCTAAAACTGTGCGCCGCAGCGCCGCGATCTTTCCATTGCACGTGTTTCGTGTTTTTTCCGGAAGCTACCATCGTCACTATTTCGATTAACTTCGGAAAAAATCGGCGAAAACATATCCTTGAATCCTATTGGTCAGTCTACTGTCGGTTGTAGTGGCCCCCACCTATCACAGTCTCTGTTTAAATGTGAAAAACCGAGCCATTTCTAAAGGTCGTCAAATCTCGTCTTTAGTGATACGGCGGAGGTGTCAAAAGTCGTCATTAAGGGTTCAGGGGGGGTCGTCAAATGTCGTCTTCATGGGGGAAAGAGTTAATGGGCAGACATGATGTAACCTCTCATTGCACAGGCCTTGTTAGGTGGCTAAAAGCTCAGTGTACCTGTTCATTGATGGAGCTGTAGTCATTTGTGGTGGACACGTCCTCCTCCTCCGAGTCAAATAGTCCCTCCTGGTTATCCAGCAGCTCTGCCAGCACTCTGCTCACACTCTCCTGCTCCCGGAGGTCCTCTGCTTCTGTGGACAGACTGACAGCACAGCACTGCATTAAACACACAACACGAGCCACAGCTGTCTGACGATGCATTATTCCCCGGGGGATAAATTTAGTACATGTTGTACAGCCTCTTGTGTTTGATATGAATCATATTCAAATCAAATATTGATTTTTCTGAGAAGTGTGATCGGCCAGCTTTACTCTATCTCTAATCTCTAATATGAACTGATTTGTGCTCAGTATATGACAGCTAGTGGCATCCCAGATTCATTTGTGCTTGTACTGGACTTAACTGCAGTTACGAACCAGTTACGAACACACGTTACAGTTATTACCTTTAAGATTTTAGTTTAACATAACTTTACTGGTAAATGCATTGTGCAGCCCTAAAAAGTACTGAACTAATAACATTAACTGACAACAAGGGGCTGTATCCAGTTGACTCATATAATAAAGTGACATCTGTTGCCCCAGCACAGATCTATTGTAAAAGAATATCTTATGGTCAAAACAAGACCAGTATGTGCTGTCTATATCCTATTATAAAGTGAACCAGTGCACCTTCAGCATGCCCACTGTCATAAGCATTACAGTGTCAGCAAACCTCAGCATCCTGGTGTCTGCAAATTGTGAAAAGCACTTCTATTTGCAGTGAATAATCACAGTTTCAGATGATCTCTTGATGCTTTTTACATTTTAAAATCAGCTACAGTATCTTTGATGAAGCACCAACTAAACAGCACCTGTACACTCGATGAAGCAGAAAGGTGTATACTCACTGGAAAATGTCTGGTCCGAAGACGGCTGCCAGCGCCTCCACGTTCCAGCTGTCCTGCTGCAGAGACGCCACGCTGGACAGGAACCGGCACAAGAACCTGAGCAGACCGTAATTCACTTGAGGCAGCTGCTGGAGCAGGTACTTGAGCCTTCTGCACTGTTCCTCCTCACCACTGTAATCTGAAATGCCATAAAACACAACGGTATAAGTACCATTACTACTACACTTTACAACTCACTACCAGGTCATTATATTCACTGCATTTATAACTGCTTGTAAAAATGTTTATGACGCGAGACTCAACGTATTTGCCATTTATAATGTGTCCTTTAGAGTAGATATTAAAGAGATTATATTGCGCCATTTCCTGATCTATGCTATAATGCCGTTTCCTCATCAAAGGCATACCTGGAGTTTTGTTTTATTCATAAATGTTTAACACACAACTCCTGCATGTTTAGGCTGTGTTCTCTCAAATGGAAAACACTCTGGATCACTTATTACTGTATTACCACATGACAAGGTGGAACAGTATTTTTAAACTCCATACACCTTCACTAGAATCATTTGATGATTTCAGCCCTAGAATTGGCTCTCTACCTCCACTGAACAAAAGGTAAAATGTAGCTGGAGATGTACACAGACTAATAAACTAATAAACACAAATCTGGTTATGTTTTTGAGGAGATAACAGCATTCTGACATGTCTTAAAGATCATAAGAACCAGTTTTGTGTAATATAGGACCTTTAAACTATTATATTATTTATGTAAGGAGATGACACTCTGCAGGTGCAAGCAGGACATGGAATATAAATAAATCAAAATAGAGATATTAATATTAATGGGAAAAGAGACTTTCCCATTAAGGAGGCCTAACACACTGTGACCGACATGTGCACTGCTGTAATCTAAATGAGTATCGGGGGGATTAGAGGAGATTATATGTGGTGGACAACAGAAGCAAAAGAGCATTGGGGTAAGAGGAGGTGAAGAACAGTCTGGTAGCATCTAGGCCAGAACAAAAAAGGAAATGGAACTAGGGCATATCAAATTATGTCGAAAAAAAGTTATAAAGGGAAAAAATTAAGATGAACTTTATTGCAAAATAAAAGCAAAGACAAGAGAAAAGGAACCGTATCTTGTCATTTATTTACGTATTTATTGCTATGACTAGTTCATCGCAATGAAAGCCTAATAAGAGATATGAATGCCTTCTCTATTACAACATGACCATCCCATAGAGAATAATATGCAAATTGAAAGCAAGCAGAGCATATTTACATATTTTCCTCATGCTTACTTGAACCCAAATCACCTACCATATTTTTAAGACTATAAATAACACTTTTTTCATGGTTTGGGTGGTCCTGCGACTTAAATATAAAAATGTTCACACTGACAGCTGTAAGAGGGCGCTCTAGCCTTGTGTGTCAGTATCTGCTACTACTATTACACCTGTACCACTGTCATTTAGCTCTATTGTGCATGTCTGCTGCAGAAAGAGCCTCTGTACTGTCTGTATCATGTCAGTCGTTCGCACCATTACCACTGTACCAAATTTTTTTTTAAATTGAAGTGATTTCAGTGACAACCGAAACCATCCTGTCACGATTCAGAAAGGCCGGAATAATTCTAACTGATGCCGAGTCTGACAACAGCTACGCAGAAGACGAAGTGACGCTCTGTTTACCTCTGGAGTTTGTGGAGGTGCTCAGAAGTGACACTGAGGATGAGGAACTCAATGGATTTAGTGATTTAGAGTGAGATGGAGAGTTTGGTAAACTTGTTCTGTTCTGTTGTTTATGCTATAGTTATCTGAAGTGTTCATATGTGACATTAACAGCATGTTGTTCTCTATTTTATTGTAATTACTCTAACTTGGCTTTCAAGATGAAATGTTAGTTCCTGGTCTCTGATTTTATAAAATAAATTTCCCCCAAAAAGTGTAATATGTTTTTTTCTTCTTCATTGCGCATTTTTGGCTGGTGTGGCTTATACTCCAGGAGCAACTTATAGTTAGAAAAAGAGTAGTGACCACGTTATAACATGGTAGAACGCTCCAAATAGAAATTTTTTTCATTATACCCCTTAATTGTTAGCATCTAAGTCCTAAACCCATACCTTGGTGGAGCTGCAGGATGTGTGCCTGCATGGCGGTGGGGATGACGGGCTCGGGCAGCTCCTGGAGGAAGAGCCGGAGCAGGGACACGGCTGAGGCCAGGTCTGCCTCCCTCTGCAGCTGCACCTCCTCCCCACTGTCGTACCTCTGACGCAGCCACTCTACTCGCTCTGCATTACCGTTCACCAGGAACACGCCCTCCAAGTCCAGATCACCTATAAACACACACACGGGTTATTCTCAAGTACAGAGGACAGCAGGGGCAGGATGAGACATAATTTTGATAAGACAGATGAGATAGGACACGATAATGGGTCTAAGCTCTATGAGACAAGATGCGATTTTGATATAATTTATAATGCATTTTTATTGTGCAATCCATTTCACAATTTTGACTTTGGAATATCTTAATTTAGATTTTTTACGTTATTATTTGTTTATGTTATTATAGAGCTGCTTTTTGTAACTTAAATATGTAATTCTTCAGTGCTTCACCTTTTTTGTCTAAACCAAATCTCACAAGATCGTGTTTCTCATGTGTGCAGTCTTATGGCATAAACAACGCTGCACCTCCACCACATAAGAGGTTTGTCCAGCTTTTCTCTGAGCAGACCACCATAACATCCAGGTCCACAAGTCACGACGACCGCAGACTCCACAGATGTAGGACATACAAGGGCGTTAAAGAATGGAACAAGCTCCAAACAGGCTGAAACTCTCCTCTGACCTGAGGAACTTCTCTTATAATGTTAGAACTCTCATTTTAGAGAGTCAGCTCTGTCAACACTGATTTGTATTTGCATGTTGTAGCTCATACGGTAATTGTTGACGTAATATTTGAGTAATTTTTTAAATGTGGAAGTGTGGAGAAGTTTTGATTATAAATGGATGGATACTTTTTTATATTTTTATGTTTAAGCTGCCTGAAGATTGCAGATGAAAATGATCTTTAGTTAAATCTGGTGTAGAGAGTCTTTTCTTTTATGAAATGAATGAGTCTGCACATGGTCCCTGATAAAATAAACCAATAAACTGCAGTAAACTGAACTTTAAAAAAGCTCTGGGTTTTTTTAGTTTATAATTTTATTTCCTCGTAGGACATGAGCAGCACAATTACAGAAGTAATTCTGTAATTGTTACTTAGCAAAGGCCAAAACACAATAGTTATGATTAGACAAATGAAAACAACTGACAACACCTTTATTTTGTTAAATGATGGGTTAATCTGTCAGAAAAATGTGTTCTCTTCGAGTAATTTCTCTCTGTTTTCTGGCTGTGTTAAAAACATTTGTAGAGATTTTGCTTTAAAAATCTGCCACTTCCTGTATTTTTGTACTTTTCTTCAACTTTTTTCTACAAACTCATGAAAAACTATGATAAATATTTACCACTGGTACTATCCCAACAAACCACGTCAGAAGTAGGAAAAACATCCAGACCTGCCATACACACTTTAAAGATCCATCAGCAATCTTTATGCAACATCCCCAGAACTATTCACATTTGAGCATAGAGTGAAATAAGAACGATTACAGCGCTTTCATTCATAAAACAAGATATCGAGTTCTGCACAGAGAACATTGCATTTCGAGATTAGCTGGCACAGCAGACTTTGTGGCTTGCACTCAAGCGATCCCATATAACTTGTGTTTGCCAATAAATACAGGCGTGTTACATTTCTGTTTAGTAAAGACTGGCTGTGTCCAAAACAAATCATTAAACATCTTTACTAGGCGCTGGGCAGGGTATACGGGACAAATGAAACTGTAACTGAACAACAGAATCATTTTTTATTTGTACATGTCTACAACTGTCTAAATGTTTAAATGTAATAATAAAATGTTTTGTTCTTGCTGGTATTTTTCTTTGTGTTTTGTTTATTTCTTTTAAATAAGTTAATATTATTGTAGTTATTCTTTTTTATAAATCACTTTGAATAAATGTGAGTAAACATGAGAATATTTATTACAAAAAAAAGTTTTGTCTTTTTTTTAGTTCTGGTTTATAATTTGACTTGAGCAGCCAATGAGAGATACGTAGAGGTAATTTCAGTTCTGTTACCTACCATCCACGTTAACCAGGGTAAAATTATATCAGAGCTGTTGTGTAATTTAGACAAGTCCAAAACTGTCGAAATTACACAACAGCTGTCGTTAAAAATTTATGACAACGCCTTTATTAAATCAATGCTTAATCCGTCAGACAAATGTGTTCCTTTTTGTGTAAACTGTCTGCATTTTGGACACAATTTTCCATGTTGATGGTACAAGATAGTGTGAGTTCCACTGAAGAATTCACCACTATTTTACCTATAACTTTTCTTAAACTTTTTTTCCACAAACTGTCACTTAACTGATCCACTGCTACTATCCATGAAAACAAGTAATAAAAAAAAAAAAAAGCATGAAATCCTGTCATATGCACTTTTTGTAAAAGCTTATGGGCCAATGTCCAAAAGCTTTATTATTTTTAAATAATGTTTCGACAAAAAAAACCTTCATCAGATTTTGTTCTTGCTTTGGACCGCAGTACAAAACAAAAAAAAAATCTGATATGTTTCGGCAAAAAAGCCTTCGTCTGATATTTTTCTTGCTTTGTACTGTGGTCCAAAGCAAGAAAAATATCTGATGAAGGTTTCTCTTTTGTCAAAACATTATTTAAAAATAAAAAAAGCTTTTGGACTTCGGCCCTCTGAGTGTGCTATGCATTTTTCCACTTTTATTTTGCTGTTCCTTGCAGTTTCATTTGATTTGCACTTATTGTACCGTGGATCTAGTTTGAAAACCAAGTGGTTACGATAACAAAAAAATGTGACCGGTTCAGTTCACTGCCTTTATATTTACATTCTGTGAAATCCAACACTCATGTGAACTTTCCCCTTTATCAAAGGAGACACCTGACATTCCTGTGTGTCATAACCCTGACGGAGTTAATCACTTTGTCATTCCATCGGGACGTGCCAGTGTGCTGTTTTGTGGCCCGGGCTTCATTATGTGTGTTCTGTGTTTACCTGATCTGACAGTGCCGTCTTATGTAACATCTTATTCATTGTGCACACATGAGATTCTCGGGAGATTGGTGCTTTTCTCTGCCTCAGTAACTTGTGTCACGGCTGCACTTCCCTCATGAGAGCTCACAGCACACGGAGCGAGGATGAAGTGCGCAATAACTATAACTATTTTAGCAATCCACGGTCTGCTTCATTAGACAGTGTACTTCAGCAGGTTGAACTTATACAAGACACTAAATAAACAGCACTCACATTGTCTGAATAAAGCTTTATCAATATATTTGTTTCAAAAGATGCAGGTAAAAAGTCTGTTTGCTAAAATAAATGCCACGAAATGTTGATGAATGTGTAATAAGTTTTAGTTAATAGAATTATGAGTATTTAGGTTTTTATTCATTTGTATAAGTACATTCATGTTCTAGTATTTGATGATGCGATAATTGTGAATGCACCAATACCTCCAATACTGAAAAATAAACTGGATCGGGTATTGGTTTTATAGTTACGCTGATATCCTGGTTTGGGCTTTAATTAAATGTAACAAGCCTATTTACAGGCAGATTTTGGGCTTGAATGTTTGAACTTCTATTCAAACAAAACTGTTCAGTAGTGATTTGAAGGATAAATAATAGTTACAAACACAAATGGATCTCTTGTGTAATAAGTAAACTGTGTTTTAAGGAATTAAGTGCCCATTTCTGTCCCTACACTGGTGTCCGTTAATAACGCATATTGGCGGATACTTAAAGTCATAGTTGTCACATTGACATGAGAGCTTTAATTCTGAATAAAAATTAATTCCACTTTAAAAAGATAATGTAAACACTTAATTCCTTAGTAAGTTTATTCCGATTTTAAAGTCGAATTAATTTATTCCTCGATCATGTAAATGTTTATTTTTCTTACAAAATGATTGCAGTTGTTCAGCGCATCCTCATTGGGTCGCCCTTCTAATGCGATCCAGACGGTCCGGCTACACCAGTACTCAGTTCGGACTTTCATCCACTGCTCTTTGGATTTGCGAGCGGGATACGGGAGTGAGCTTCATCCCTTCTCTGACACTCTTCTATTCTCCTCCTCATCTGACAGATGTAAATCTTAATGAGAGAATTCTCAAGATGCTGCTTCATTATCATCGAAACGACTTCGAAAAAAGTTTGGATCATGTTTGTGTCCGTGGCGTAACAAACTAAGATGACAAAAAAGCCGGTAGCAGTTCAAGTGTGTGTTTTCTTCCAGTCGGCGTAAATACGTTCATGTCTCTGTCTAATCAGAACCCTTCTCGACCTCCAGACGTTGAGTGCAATTAAATAAAGGCGATTTAATGTGTTCAGTTCAGAATTATTATTTCCATGTAAACTCGAAGGACAATGTTTTAATTCCAAACTATTTGATTCAGAATAATTAATTTCGGAATTAAAAAAACATCATGTAAACGTCTGGCAGTATCTATATCGGAACTGAAAAATCTGGATTGGTGCATCCCTAGTAATAATCTCAGATAGTGGGCAAGGGCCTATATAACTGAGAAATTTCTACAATAGCAATCCACAAATGTTGAACCTTAGCATTACGTGTTAGGGTCTATGTCCACAAACCTGCAAGATTAATCCCATCTTTTAAAGTTTTTTCAGCTGGCTACAACATATCTTTAAAGTTAAAAATGGCACCACTTCCTACAGCTATGTGTTTATTTTTTGTTTCATGCAAAGTACATGAAATATTAAAACAAGTCAACAAATCTGCAATCTGACAGAAAAACAGCAAAATACACCAAGGAATTGTGAGTTCAGTTTTAAACGATAGTGATTCTAGATCGTCGCGCTCTCACGCAAACCCAACCCAATTTGATTTTAATGTCTTTTTTCCTTCTGTAAAGTACTTTGAATTACTTTGTGTACGAATTGCGCTATACAAATAAACTTGCCTTGCCTACTGGGGACAGTAAGAATAACATATGCTTTAACCACCCATGCAACATATTAAAACAATTATTATTTTTTTTTTGTTCACGGACACAGTGAGAAGTTGTTAGCAGAAACATATGTGCGAACTTATATAACATTTTGAAAGATGCTTTTAAAAAAAAAAAAGATTTTTAGTTTAACCAGTTTGAAATGACAGATAAACAGAGTAACTATTATATTTTCTAACCAATGAATGTTTATTTTGAGCTCAGGGCTTACTCCTACACACATTATTCAACCATTTTATCCAACATTGGCGCCATAGATGAGTGAATTGAGTCCTCCAAGCCGAATGTTTCAAAGTGTCCGTGAGTCTTTCCATGTTTGGGGGCTTAAATCCCAGTGGGTAGAATACAGAATCGTTTGACTGGCTTAAAGTGTGGTGCTATGGTGCTCCTCACAGCTGAGCCCTGGTGTTTTCATTAGACGTCGGGCTGCTGACAGAGAGCTTATGTAATGAGGAGGACCAGTGGAGCGAGAACTGGAGCTGTCTGCTTCATCTTATCTCAAGCCAATGAGGGACAGACATATTTGGCATAAGTGTGATGCAACACAGTCAGGTCAGGTCATACACAACAATATGCAGAAGATTTAAGGAGCCAAATTGATCTGTTAAGTTAAACCCGTATTGTTTTATATAATGTTTTTGTGATTATGGGGCTGTGAAATGAGTTTGATTACATATACAGTTATTAAAGTTATCTAATTGAAGCGAATAACCAAATAATAGGTCTAGTCTTCATATACAAGAAGTTGTTGCAGTTGCTAAAATGCATGTAGATGATATCAGACTTACATTTTAGACCTCAAGAGCTGCTTGTACAATATAACTCTGCTGCATGCTGTTTGTGTCTAATTATGAACAAACTCCGCTCTAGTGCTATATAAAAAAAGTCTCAGTCTAACCTTGGACCATAGCAAATCGTTTAAATTTACCCAGTTCTGTTTTTTACTTTTTTAATACAGTAAAAATCAGGTACAGTGTCTTCAGTAATTAATATTTATCTTGTTTTAAAGACTCGATACTAAAAATTCAAACTTGATTTCAATGTTACGGAACTGATTCGATACTGGATGCGGATTCTGATACAACAATGACAATTTTAAAAAGCTTTATTTAGGCAATAGTATTTTCAACATTAAGTTATAGTACTTTCTTTTATATTATCATGTGGTCATACTATGTGCTCTTATGCTTGTGTCCTTTTTTAGTATCAATACTTGCCTAAATGAATATCTAGTGTCAATACTATTTTTAGTATTGATTAGCATCTGATTTTTGATACTTTTGACCGTCCTATTTTAGACTATGGGAGTGAAAATGAAGTAATGGGGCCTATAACTATTAATGGAAAACAGAGTAAGCCCTATATGTCAGCACTCTACAAGAGATCTTTCAAACTGGTGTGTGAGTTAGATAGATTTATCTTTTTTTTAGTCTCTCCGTCCATAGATAAATGATGATTGCATGCCCCGTGTCTCACCGTGTTCCTCGATGTACTCTACGATGTGTTTGACCAGCGCTGGGACCTCGTGTCCGCTGATGGTGTGCGCGCGCGTCACCTCCTCCAACGGGACGCCGAAGACACGAGTGGTGTTGGCCGAGCTCCCGCCTTCGTCACCTGGCAACGGAGACACGCTCTTCCTCATGGCCTGCTCCTCCACCTCACCACAACCCCGCCGAGGCCTGACGTCTGTCAACAGAAAGGGATAAAAGGCTAGTATAATAGACTTTGTTTACCTTTATGAAATATATTTACACATACGGGTTTTGGTATTGTCAGTCTAACGTCAGTGTAATCTGAGTGTACCTACCTGGAAAGTTAAAGTTATGTTTCTCTCATTTTGATTTAATTTGGTGGGATAACATCTGTCGTGAACATAATTAAAGTTTTACACAAAGAAACAATTTGTGAAGAAAAGCTGAAAAATACATTGAAAAACATATTGATAGCATCACAATAGGGAAAACTAAAAACAAAAATTAGGCCCAATTAAAAAGTAAACTTGTTTTCTGATACTTTAACATAAGAAAACGCCTTAATTTTGTTGAAATAATGTTGTATTATATATATAATAAAAGTCAAATAATAATCTGTGCAACAATTCCCTAGTGTGAAGTCACGATTTCAAATCAGGAAGTACAAATTAAACCTAAAAAATGCCAAACTGGGAAATAATTTGAAAGTATCTTAAATATAATAATCTCAACTATGTTTTAGCAAAATTAGCTGCCTAAACTGTCGTAGGCAGAACATCATAACAGTCTTGAATCACGAATGACTCCAGTGATTAAACTACTATCCACTATGTAATTCATCTCCCTGCCACATGAATCAAATAGACAATACTTACACCAAACTAGTCCTTACCTGAAAATTAGTGTTACCTGAAACAATAAATTTGTTTTGTTGTTTATTCCAATACCAATATTCCTAAATATACGTACAGTACATATCAGTATTGAATAGCATGTGTTTAATCATCAGTACAATTGTCTATTACTTTGTTTACTGTATAACTTATATTAAAGCCACTGTATATATAGGTATATTTTAGCTAAAAAACAAAAACAGACTGAAATAAACGTATTTATTCCACTGAAAAACATGCGTCTTTACTGTGAGCAGGCATGGTCATTTCTAAGGAAATGTTCCTTTGACTATAATATTCCACATAAAACTTATTTATCCTGATGAGGAATGTTGGCGCCCCACCTCAAGAAAGTTACACATACAATTTGAAAAATGTCAAAATTCTATTTAGGCTGTAATAATTTGCTTTAAATTGTGCATATGCAAAACACTCTTTAAAGCAAATGGAATTGCAATGCAGTAAAACTTTTAATTTAACCAAACCTGAAGACAGATACACAGTTGCTTAGTAACCAACAGTTTTATGCTTATGATATTCAAGGGCTCAACACGTTACATCCTATTTTATTGTCCCCAGGCATCGTTAAAATAGACTGTGGAACTGTGAAGCATCACAAAAGTCCTATTTTAATAACAGGAAGAGCTTGTGATTGTGTCCTTACCGTGTAGCAGTTAAAGTGTGTCCTATCCGCTCCTCCCCACACCAGTGAAAGGGTAAAACATCTAGGGCTGCTTCAGGTTGTGGCAAAAGATGAGCCGGTAGTTCCTCATTGACGGTCCGCTAATCCTCTAGCAGGATTCTTTTTAGCTGCAAACACAAAACAAAAAAGTCAGTTAAGAAGAGGTTGCTGCAAGTCAAGTTCATAGTATTTTTGTGTTGTAGCATAAAGTCTGTTTAAAAAAATGTGTCTAACAAGTTATAAAGTTGTATTTTCAATCCAAAGTTGAAAAAGCCAGGCACTCAAAAAGTACAAAATAATTAAAAGCTTTTATAACCACATAGCAGATACGGTTAAAATTACACCAGCGTGTTTCAGCCCTTCGACAATAGTATAAAATGACCTGGCAAGTCCTTTGATCATCCATTCGTGGGCGTGTTCCTTTACCTAGTTTTAACAAGGTCCATGCTCAAGGTCGTTCAACACAATGAGATTTAAGTTTTGGTATATGTGCAAAGACTGACTTAATTACAAAACATTTTCAACTAGTGATCATTCAACACTAAAATTTCAACCTTGATTTTGGTACTAAAAATTCGACTTGATACTCAGTTCAGATTCTGATACCACGATGATAATAATAATAATAATAATAATAATAAAACACTTTCTTTAGACAACAGAATGTGATTTTTAACATTAAGTAATTGTGTTTTTTTTTTTTTTTTATATTACCATGTGGTCTTATACCTGTGTAATCCCTCAGTCTCTTAGTGGTCCATGGGTGTTTTCTTTTGATACAATGTGACTTTTTAATATAGATTTCTGCTCAAATGTGTATCTAATTTTGATATGAATTAGTATCTTAGTTATTTTCAATACTTTTCACAACCCTATTTATTTATCTAAGTTTAACAAGCTCCGAGCAAGACTGATTCAAGTTTTGGTATGTGCAAAGACTGACTTAATTCCAAAACCAAGAGTTTCAACTCTTTAATAAAAACAAAAAACAAAAAACAAAAAAATCAGCCAGATAAAATTAGAATTGCTGCATTGCATATCAGTGGTTCAGTTTACTCTTTATTTCCGGCGCTTGATTCTTGGCAGACTAGCAGACTGCCGACACAATGACACAACAGATTGGGGTACTTAGTTTTCCCAGAGTGCTTTGCTTTGTGTAAAAAAACGACCCTAAAAAGGCCTCCGCAGAAAGGATCCCGTCTGTAATGGAAATGCCTGCAAAGAACTTCTAGGTGGTTTACCCAGCGAGTTCTAATCCCTACTGTCATGGTGGGCAGCTTTGTGTTCAACAATGAAGGTGCACTGTTCACATGGAAACGGAGAAAGCTGAGAGATGTTTTGTGGATAGAAAAGAAGGAAGAAGAGGAGATGGCTGCTTTAGGGGGAGCAGGATCTGTGACAGTTTGATTCTACATGATCTCAGGTAGTATAGAGCTTATTTTTAAACATCTGAAAAGAGCTACGTAACAATGAAAATAGGAAAAAATGCATGCTTTATATTTCCAAATAGCAAAACGCAAAAAACTGCAATTTTTGAAGTGCCATCATTTCTGACAAATAACGAAATATCCTGACATTCTGCATAAAAACTTCTAACCCTGTAGTTTAGCTGTGTACTGAAATTGAAACATGCTCTGAAACATGATTATTTTATTAGTTAGGCTGTAAAGATAATCAATAAATCAATTAGTCGTACGATAACTTTTAACGAGCTCAATAACTTTTCCAGCCGCGATAAATTCTATTTGCATGCTTGTTTGTATTTCCTTGTTCTCTCTCGCTCTAAAAGAGACCGAATGTTAGAAGGCTTCTATCGCTCTCTGACTCCTCTCTTTTAACAAGCGTAATGACACTTGAAGCATCGTGAGCTGTGTCTATCATCACAGTGGATGCACGCGCAGCCTGAGTGCAGAAAGCGCCGCTGTCTGTGTGGCTAACATGAAGGTGCAACACGAGCAGGTGCTGCTGTCAGTGACAAAACACAGTGACAGTTCATTGGCGTGTGCCAAAACAAGTCACAATGCCGAATCAACACTGGTGAGTGGGACACGTCTCAATGGCCACATGCGTCAAATGTAGTGAGACACAACTAGCCTAGCCCCCGCGAAACACCGAAATCCACTGAAATCCCACAAGACACCGGCACGATACCGGACAGGACAGAGACTCTCTCATAGAGAAACAGGATCCTGTGTTGCGGGTTAATACAAACATTTCAACACCAAAATGACGAGGTTCACAGCAGCAGTCATTGACAGAGGGGCCACAATATTCCAATGTGAGTCAGTGACTAAAATAACTTTTAAAAGGGAGTTTTGTTACAGTCAGAGACTTAATAATCCATTTTATTTATTGCTTTGGTTGTGTTTGGTTCAAGAATGGTTTATTCAAGTGCATTTTTGTTAACAAATCCTTGCTGTGAGCCAGACTACATTAGGCTAGTCCTATGTTAACAAGTCTGTTTTATTTAGGCCTATTGTTTTTGGTTGTCTTACAGTTCCTGTGTTAAATGTTCTTTAGAAAGTAAGGTTTATTGATCTTTGAAAGAGTGCATTTGCATTTTTATTCCATGGTCATTATATTAGTTGAAATTGGTCTCAAAATGTCAATATTATCATTTATCGTTATAAATTCTTGGTTAATTAATCGTTCACCAAAATCTATTATCGTTACAGGCCTAGTATTAGTTTGTCAGTTTACTTTTCAGTGTTTTTGTCAATTCTTTTGAACACATTTAGAAAGCAAACTTTGAACAGAATCCAATTATTGAAACATAAATTGCAAATCTGATCATAATTTCAAAACTTTTCAGAAAAATGTGAATCAGATAGTTTTCCCAAATCATTCAGCTCTACTTCCAAATAAAAGGTGGCATTTAAATATTTTTGTCTAAATACAGTATTTAGTATCAAAGAATAGTTATAATGTACGACACCTGTGGCATCATAATGTTATAATTTGTTATAATTTTAAATTGCAATATTCTTCAAAAACAAGAAAACTGAGGTGCCCGATGGGAGTAAATGTCATCTTAACAAGGAGCTGGCAACTCCGATGGATAGCTGACAATCATGCTTGCGAGTGAGGATTTTTTTTTAAATTTATACCAATATGTGCAGAGCAGTGGGTGTGTTGACCTACATGGGGTCTTGAAAATAAACGATTAAAGATGCATGCATCACTCCAAATACAACTTTGAGGGCTACAAATGAGAAGAGTTGAAAGCTCTGAAGCATCGATTTACTCTGTACTTTTTCTGTATTTCTGTATCTTTGAAGCAAAACTTTAAACGTGAAATTCTGATAATTACATGTTGCTCAAATTTGACTTTTAAGCTCATATATGCGAGACGATACTTTTGAGAATAAAAACTTATCTGCCAAATACCCTGAGTCCTGTTCCAACAGAGCATGATAAAATATTCACAATAGATCATGAATTATACAGTTGCTTTGATCTGACTTGCATCATGTTACTCCCCCTCAGATATTTAAAGACCCAGCCTCGCTGTCCAACCTCAGATTATGCCTAAATGTTCAGAGAAAGTGTGTGCAAAAAATGAGGAACATCTTAAAATAGTACAACATTCATTTTCGCACACTCTGGCAATCAAACTGCAATCTAACTAATGCGCATAACAATTATACATTATATTCTGAAATGTTCTGAAATCCAGAGGTAATTAGTTACATTTACTTGTAGGGATGTAACAATAACTGAAATATCATGATATCGTATCATCAAAGTTCTTACACTAATATCGTGGACCATCACAATGTATCGAATTACAAGTCTCTTTGCTTAAATTAAGAGTTATGGTGCAGCAAAAGCTAAAAAAAAGACAGAGGAAACTACATAGCCCATGATCCTTTGCTCCAGTAGACTACAAGAAGAAATAACAGTTCTAAGCACTCTGAAGTCTTAGTTCTTTAGGTGAAGTCTTGTCAAGGCATTTTAAGAGTAAAAAGTCGTATATTCACAGTTTTGTTAGTCTCCACAAAATATCTCACTAAATATTGTACCGTGAGATCTATATCGTGGAAAATATTGTACCGAGAGATTTGGATATTGTTGCATCCCTAATCGTGAGCCTCCCCACCATATCGTGAGCTTTCCCTCGATATCGCAATAAATATCGTACCGTGATGTTCATACTGTGACAATATCGTATCGTGAGACTTACTGTTACACCATTTACTTGAGTAATATTTTAAAGAAATTGTACTTTTTTTTTTTCAAAGTACTTTTCTAGTGGCACACTCGAATCCCTACTCAAGTAATATTTTTATTGTGTAAAAGTGCCAAAAGCTTTATGTTGGCAATATTAAATAATTTGAACATTTGTGATTCCTGCATCACTACTTTAGATATATTGTTTTGTTTTTTTTGGCAGGGGTTCATTTTTGTACCCATGATTTTGTGCATTGTTTAATGTTTTGTTCTTCAAATTACATTAACTCAACATAATTTCCTGCACCATTACTTTGTACTTTTTTTTAGCTGTTAACACAAAATAAGCAGACCCTCTTATTAGCTGCAAGAATGTGTAAACTGTGGTCTATTTGTCGTTCTGTCACCGCCTTTTGTCTTTAAATATACACTGTTCAGAAGTTCAGGCAAAATCTTCAAACAAAACATACTGAACTTGTTGAACTCTGAACTTTGGCCCAATTCTTCTCCAGAGCCGGCCCATTGAGAGACCGAATACCGGCTATGTGTGTAATGTGTTTGTGTGGTGGTTTACGCGCCCAGAACTAGTTTCAGACATTTTAGCCATGACCCAGGGCACATCGGCGTAGTGTTGGGTGGGTGCATAGCTTCCATGCACTTGTGTCTGGTATGAAAATAACCAGTCACACCCACTGAAGTCAAGAGGCTTTTGCACTTTACTGTGTTAAAGTGTGGGAGGGGATAACTAATGTATTGTATAAGCGGCACTTGAGGTCAAAATTAGTCAGCTCTGTGTTGTCTGCATGCAGTTATAAAGCGTTTTATTGTCTGAGAATCAGGAAGTGTGCGATTAGCATGCCAGTTGCTGTTAGGATTACAGTGACAGCAAAAGTCTGAAAGGTGAGAGGGGAATAAATTTGGCCAACTGTAAACAAAAAGAAATACTTATACTTTTCAC